ACATTCCAATGACCCTTCTCATCTTAGTGCAGATCTGCAGTCTCAGACATCTGGAGGAGAGAGATGAACATTTTTAGGAGGGCAAAGAGCACAAGCAAAGAGAATATGTATAATAAACAGGAAAAGGCTGACACTGTGCTGGGGTGGTAAACACTTGAGAGGTTGGCATGAGGTGAGCTCCTCAGGATAGGCAAAGGCAAATGTAGATACGTTTTATAATGATGTATTGAAGAGTGCAGACTTGATATTAAAAGTAATTAAAACATTATTTTTCTTTTTCCTTTTCCTTTCTTTCTTTTCGTTTTTTTAAATAAAATATTAACATGGTTCTAGTGGGATAAAATTCATGTGGCTGTCAAATAGAGAATTTGCCAGAAGCCGAGAAGAGACAAAACTGACAGTTCACCAAGATCTGAGACAGGGAAGGGTTGAGGCCAGAGGAGGAAGTGAATGTGGAGATCTAAAATTGGAAAGGGGAATCAACAGAACATAACGAGGGAGTTTGAGAAAGATGCTGGCGACCTTGCTGATGATGAAGGTGAAGAAGGCTCTGATTACACGGGAACATGTGGTGTAGCTGGGCAAAGAGAGGCTGGTATTTAGAACAGAATGGAAATTACTTAATCTATTTGGCATTTGTAGAATTCATATGACAATAATTACTTGATTAAGATGCTAGTTTGGGGCTCTGAAGAAAGCTCAAATGGAAGCCTAACTTTGATGAGTACAGCACCCCACAAAATTTTACACGTTTGTGGGACACTTAACCTTTCACTAATTGCATTTATCATTATTCTGTGGTTTGTGATAGTGCTTTAGGTATGGTTACTATTGCTGTGATGAAACATCATGAACAAAGGCAGCATGAGGATGAAAGGGTCCTTAGCCTACATATCCTGAATCACTGATGGAAGCCAAAGCAGGAACTCAAACAGCTTGGCAACCTGGAGGCAGGAACTGATGCAGAGGCCACAGAGGGGTGCTGCTTACTGGCTTGCTCTCCTAGTGGCTTGCTTATCCTGCTCTCTTATAAAACTTGGATGGTACCACCCACATTGGGCTAGACCCTCTCCCACCAATTACTAATTAAAAAGTTTAAGGCTGATTTTTTTCCTGGAGCAATGTCCAAAGATAGGAAGTGAATTTATTGTGAAGTCTCTGCCACCACTAACAGACTAATTAAATTTTATGGGTTCCCAGGACGTAATGCAAACTTAGGATACAGAATCTTAAATATCCTATATAGGCTTCCCTTCCTATAGCCCAATATTATGGGGGCATTTTTTCAATTGAGGTTTCCTTCCTCACAGATGACTTTAGTTTGTGTCAAGTTGCCATAAAACTAGCCAGGATAGGTTAGTATACCAGTTTGGACCTGAAATGTCTACCAAAGAATCAAGTGCTGAAGGCCTGGTTCCCTGCAACAATATCAAAAGTTAGGAAGTGATTGGTTTGCGAAATCTCTGACATCATTAGTGGTCTTACTCCATTGATGAGATCATCATTTTATGGGTTCCCAGGATGTGCTGGAAACTTAGGAGATGGAATCTAGAGAAGGGAGTGGGTCCTTAAATGATGGTCCTCTGTGTCCAGAGATTATATGTACAACTCAATGTTGGAAGACAAGCTATTCTTCTCACAGACAGGTAAAAAGTAGGCTGGCATAAAACCAGCTACAGAAGCTGGCTAGGGGAATCCTAAAGATGGTGAAATGGGTAAGTATAATTGAAAGGACACTGGATATTAGGGCTTCCTAATCCTGTAAGTGGTCTTGGTTGATCTGTGAAGATGGTTCACTAATCTCTTTTCCCAGAAAACCCTACAACATCATGCAAGTCAAGAGGTTCAAATCTTCATGTTCTCTTAAGATCACGTGTAAAGTCTCCAGGCTGTCAAGGGTATGTTTATCTGAGAAGTTACCAAGTGTTTTAATGATATCACTTTAAAGGAGCCATGTGGGCCATTCCAGTGGTATCAAGTAAGTATACCTAGGTCAAACAGTAGGGCTTGACACAGAGTCAGTGACACTAAAGAGTTTAGATTTTTTTTGTTGTTGTTGCATGTGTTTGAAAATACAGAGAGTGGTGCTATCCTTAAGGGTTTAGATATATATTCTTTGGTTATTGAACATATCAAAGTGAGCAAAGCTCCTAAGATGTGCCAATGAATTATAGAGCTCATGACCGGGTTAACCTGACCGCATTGAGATGACTTTCACTGAAAAGAAACAAATTGTTCCAAAGTCGAGGTTGCACAGAAGAAAAAGGTGTCCCAGACAAAATTGAAGAAACAGAAATGTATGTCTTGGGAATAAATTCAACTGGGAGCATGTGATTTAAAGAAGAAGGAAATAAAATGCAAAAGATACCTATTGAATCAAAGGAATGAGAAAACTGCTGAAAGATGACTAAATGTGTGAATATAATTTTAGAAAGGTTGAAACTTGGAGTTTAAAAATGAGAAGTTAAAACGCGGCAAAGAATTGATGATTGAGACAATTGATGACTGAGACATCCCATGGAAACTAAGAGTCATAAAGCTAAGAGAAAGCTAGTTAATGTGCTTACCAAGAGCTCATGTAAGTGCTTCAAATTTCTCAGAAATTATACCCAGGGGTGACGAAGTATGAGCACAAAAGGAGGTGTAAAGTCACGGTGCGACAAAATCTGAGACTAAAAGACTTTAAATTGCAGAATCCAGCAGATTATCATTAATCTTTTTTTTTTTTTAGGTTTTTTTTCGAGACAGGGTTTCTCTGTGTAGCCCTGGCTGTCCTGGAACTCACTCTGTAGACCAGGCTGGCCTCGAACTCAGAAATCTGCCTGCCTCTGCCTCCCAAGTGCTGGGATTATAGGCATGCGCTACCACTGCCCGGCCAGATTATCATGAATTATGAAGAAACAAGTTGTCTTATTTACTGTTCTATTACTGAGAAGAGACACCATGACCAAGGCAAACTCTTTTAAAGGAAAACATCTCATTGGGGCTTGCTTGCAGTTTCAGAGGGGTGAGGGGTAGTTATGACCATCAAGGCAGGAAGCAGACAGGCGCAATGCTGCGGCGGTAGCTGAGAGCTTTACATCCTGATGCGCAGACAGACAGTAGGCATAAACTGGGCCTGGCCGGGCCTTTGAAGCCTCAAAGCCCATTCCAAGTGACACATGTATCCCAACAAGGCCACGCCTCTTAATCCTTCCCAAACAGTTTCATCAACTGTGGACTAATTATGCAAATATGCGAGCCTATGGGGGCCATGCTCATTGAAAGCATCACATGAACAAAATGACATTACAAATTTTGACAAGCAAATTGTTAAATTTAAATAAAATACAAGAGTTTGATAGTTTTTCTATCTTATTTTTATCTTCTCTCTTGCTCTCTCTCTCTCTCTCTTTCTCTCTTTTTCTCTCTCTTGTTAAGAGTGTATATACAGGTATGCATATTCATGTATGCACTTCTATGAGAACAATGGAGATTCTTGGGTGTCTCAAAACCCACTGGTTTTTGTTTTGTATTGTTTTGCTTTTCAGACTGGGTCTCTCACTGACTTGTAGTTCACTAAAATGGTAGATATTGGAACCACTGAGCCCGAGAGAACTGGCTTCTTTTTCACCTACCTCTATGTCCCTGAATACAAACACATGTGGCCATGCCTGGCCTTTTTTATATGCTTTCAGGTCCTCATGCTTGCAAGGGAAGTCCCTGAACAATTAAGCTTTCCTTGCTGCATATTGCCACCATTGGAATTATGTGCTTTAATTTGATAATTGAGAAAACTCAGGAAAGTAAATATGTGGAAATCGGTTATATTAGTGATGCTCCTTATGTCTTTAAACTTTTTTTTTTTTTTTTTTTTGGTAAGGTGAAGTGGAAAATTCTGGTTTCTTTAGAAACTCAATTATGTCATGTCATGTTTTGTTTCTGGAAGCTGTCTTTTGAGAATGTTTTGCTGAAATACACGTTAGAAGATGTTTTGCTGAAGCAAATGTCTGAGAGGATGTTTGCTTCAGCAGACATGTGAGAGGGCATGTGAAGTTTTGCTGGAGCAAATGTTTGAGAGGGTGCATGATGTTTGGAAAGAGTATAAGTAGAACCCCACAGACAGTGAGAGGATGCTCTTGCTTTGATACCTTGCAACACTTCACTATTCTTTGCTGGTTTTCACTGGTAGTGCAACACTTTGCTGGTCTTTGCTGGTCTTCGTTGGTTTTCGTTGGTCTTTTCTAATTTTCTCTTCATAGAGAGCAATGCACCAAGGAATTTCTCAAGGTATTCTGGCTGATTCTTGTCATTTCAGCTGACTTGTACAGATTCAGCTGAGCCTTGAAGTTTCTGCTGGATAGAGCCACTGTTACTAATTCGTGTTTGGTGTTTGCTATTGGGTTGGACTGCTGCTGTTGATTCATGTTTGGTGCTTGCTATTGGACTAGATTGATGTTATCCTGACAACAAAGAGTGAAATTGTCCCAAAGAATTACTTCTAAACAGGCCCACAACATCCTTTTCCTATAAACCTTTTTCTCCTACCTCAAGTCAATGAGTTAGAAGGGAGGTTGAAGCATTCTAGAACCCTAAGTAAAATAATGTAGAAAAATCTATGTCTACAGTAATGAGTCCCAACTGAGTACAGAGTAATAATGTTCTCTCAGCTTAAATAGATTGTATCATAATTTGTGTCATAACTGAAGAAATGCAAATTACATGTTTTAGAGAAATTTTACATGGGTTTCTGAGGCAACTATTTATATTTTTTAAGTATATAAGTATATTTTACATAGATTCATCAAACAATTATATATACTAACATATGTATATGTACATATCTATCTGTCTACCTCTCTGTTATATAGTGATTTACTTCATAAAGGAAAATAAGTGTTATATACACCTACATCAACCCTGTTTTTCTTTTCTGTTTCTATACTTGAGAATAAGCTTGTAACTGGCTTCTTTACCTTTATCCTTCCAATACATCACAGAGAGTTCTTTTTTTTTTCCAATTATTTCAAGATATTTTATTTTCAAAATGGGTCACAACACAAGCTTTTGGCCCATTCTGCCAATGTACAAGCTACAAATGCTTGCTCAGCAGCTGAGGGACACACGTTAGTATCATGTCTGAAAAGTGAATAAAAATCCATATAAAACAAATATTCAGAGTTTCCATAGGAACACAGTAAGTGTGACCCCCATCTCCTAGCCTTCCATATACTGCATCGGTGCCACCCTACTCTTACAAAGACATTCCAAACTAGCAGTAATTAAGTTAAATGGTCCCCCCAATGCCTTAATTCAAGCTAAACTTGCAGGTAAGAGCTACAAGAATGGCATCTACACGTTGATCCTAGCAGAAGCACAGGCGGCAGGGTGACTGTCCATCCCGCTCTCCTGGGCACAAGACATGGGCAGAGTGCCAACATCCTGCTCCTCCACTTCCGGCGGGAAGCCATGGCTCTGGATCTGCTTCATGAGTTGCCACATTGGCCGTGACATCACATAGTAGATGTTTGGCCTCTGGAATCCATTGAAAGTAGAAGCAGCAGCAACGGTGTATGCACCCATGTTCTCAAACAGCATCCAATCGCCCACATGCATTTCAGGCAGGTTACAGCGCTCAACGATCCGATCAAGGCCATCACATGTTGGTCCCCAGATGCTGGATGAGTAATACTTCTCATCTGGTTTGGGTCTCTTCTGCAGCAGGGCCTTCACATGTGCATGATCGTAAAGAATGCAGTTAAATGATCCATATACTCCATCATTCACATAATACATGAAGGTTTGCTCACTTGACTCATCTTCATCATCAGAGCCGGTCTGCTCCTTCCACACGGTTTTTTCTGCAATGATGTTGACAGCAAGTGTGAAAGCTGAGGCAACATAGTATCTGCCTGGCTCGGCTATGATTCTCACTACAGAGTCTGCTGGGAAGTACTTGTCCAGAGCTGGGTTGATTACACTGGTGATCTCTTCAAATTTAAGCTTTGTATCTTCAGATCCAGGAAAGCCACCACCAATATCAAGCAGATACATGCTGAAGCCAACTTCTGTTCCCATGTCAAATACACAGCGGGCATCTGATACTGCCTGCACGAAGGTCTCAGGGTCAGTACATCCACTGCCCACATGGAAGCTGACACCAATGACATCAATATTTAGTTCTTTTGCCCGTTCCAAGAGAAGCCTGCTGGTTTTGAGTGTGGCACCAAACTTAACACTGAGGCGACAAACTGCTTTGGAATCATCAGTGGCAATTCGTAAAACCAACTTTGCCTTTGGATGTGCTCTGGCTGTATTCTAGGCCATCACCAGTGCTGTGTCCTAAACCATCATAGAAACCCTTTACAGAGCTGATTCTGGAGAGAGACAACCCTAAGGTGGCTTATGTACTTATTTTCTTCATTCCTGGAGGCTCCCACAGCTGATATTTTGTAGGAAGAATTCATGGTTACAGTAGGAAAGGAAGAGCTGGTCAATGAAACTGGAACACATAGATGAGCTCTCAGGCCAATCCATTTGCAAACAGGTAGAGAGATTGCGTAACCAAAGCCCAGGAAATAATGGTTTAGGTTATCTTATGTCATATACCCCTCAGAAAGTTCATGTTAACCTCAAATGGGCAAACATTATTTGAACACTGCAGAAGGCAGACGGTTTTGATTCGTATTGATACTTCTTAAATGGGCATGTATGTTCTGTGAAATTGTATTTTTTCTTAGTGGGATCGGGAGAGCATGACACTGACTTAATTAACAAGCTAATTTCCGTTCCATACACTTGGACATTCTTTTTCAGAGCCCAATTATGTGAACCTATGTCTGAGTTCTGACCAGTGTGGATGATAACGGTAAATACTGTGTTTGGTGATCACCAAAATTTCAAGGGAATTGTTTTCCAGAACAAGGAATTGGATGAAGGCACATTGACAGTAGCAAGGAGAAAAGAGAAGTCAATAAGAAACAACACAATCGCGAGGGAAGAAGTTAGTCACCACAGAGAACAAGTTTAAAAGCTCAAGAGAAGGTGGTGTATAAAGGACAGGGCTTTGGGGGTTCTTTGCACAGTGTGATATCTCTGGCTTATTTGCCTAGTCTTGTCTTTCTTGTTCATGCTCAGTTCTTACTGCCTTCACCTATCCCATGTCCTATGCTTGATCAGGGTTAGCTGGTGAACCAGGATTAGCCTTGGAATGTAACAGGAGCCAAACTCATTTGAATAGCCAAAAGGCTACAGTCCTGAATGGGATGAGCTAGTTAGAATCTAAGTTCTAGATAGAAAAATGTAATCATTGCCACTCAGAAGCCATCAGTGCTTAGTAAAACAAGGCAGGCAATGTAGGATGGTTTGGGGATCCTAAATTGGGAATGCACTCTCAGGTGCTTCTGGAGAGACTAAAGCTACTATCCCGAACTCTCTACCCCGCCATTACTAGAATGGGTCCAAAACTCTATGGCTTATGAGTTTTCTGAACTATGTGACTTTGGATGAGTGGAACCTTACAGCTTTTCCTTGTATGGATCAAATACCTCCAATAGTAGCTGGAATGGTTTCGTTATAAAATGTACATAACCTTCTTAACAAATCCAGTGGGGTCAAGGAACCATGGACTGAAACCTTGAGCCAAAGAAATTCTTGATCCTCCAAGTTGCTTATGGCAGGTGTCTTATCACAGTGACTGAAGTTATTCATAGGTATGTGTGTGTGTGGGGGGGGGATGTGTGTGAACAGATGTGAGACAGGTGTTAAGGGGTAGGGCAGGAATGAAACTTTTACTTTTAAGAACACAGACATAGTACTTGCTGTGAGATCTCCACAGGACAGGACGTGGATATTCATCCACTATGTCCCTACCACTTCCAGAAGTATGATGTCTTTTCACTGGTCAGCAAGCATCATGAAGGCAAAATGGTGCCTGGGGTCTTCTCTAGTTGAAGCTTTTGTTCTTTCTTGCCAGCTTGACATTACCATAAGCATTTTTTTTTATTTTTATTATGGTTTTAGTAAATTTCCCAGGATTCCCCCAAACATCTGATCCTTCTTCTCTTGTCTACTTAGATCCATAATTACAGGGACGTGGTCCCTGACTGCATTAAGTGGGCAGTTTTTTCATCTGTGGTCTCTTTTCAAGGTATTTCATGCTGTAGAAATGAGTTCCCCAGAAACACCACCCATGGCCTCCTGTGTTTTCAACCAGTGCTTGCTTTGGGGGAGGACCATGCATATCCAGCCTGCTTCCCTTTGGTTTCCTGCTGGCTTTCTTGGCTGAATGGCTGGGAGGAAGTGTGACCAGAAACCCTCTAATACTGATAATCACTCCAGGCAGCCAGCAGGGGTGGTGACAAAGATCAGGAAGTGCTACAGAGACACAAGGAGGAAGAGTCCAGCCCAATCAGGGAGAAGACAAGTTCCTACTGCACATTTTCTGAGATTATCAGGCTTTCTATGACCTCATTTTCTCAGGTGACATCCTTCAGCAAGGCTGAAATCTTCCACTCACTATGTCCTGTTAAGTGATGATCGAAATCATGGAACTCTGGAACGGTTGTCTCAGAGAAATAGCTTGAATTTAGGTTGAGGCTCATTATTTTTCCCAGTGACTCAGGAGTGAGCTGAGGCTTCCAGTGTGGAGTCTGGAAATTCTATTAATTTGAGAGGTCAGCTCAAATGACTGAAAAGCTGAATTCCTGATTCTAGTCATCAGATGGAACAACTCTATTGAATATGAGCAAAAAGACATTAAACTAGGTTAATGGTGCTGGTTTCATTTGTTTTCCCCACAGCTATGGTTGAAATTGGGAGCGTTGTCCTAATGATCATTGAGTTTGTGACAGAACACTGACTGCATTAAGTGGGCAGTTTTTAAAATGCCTAAAGCTCCAATTGGTCTGTCCCCGACTTCTGTGTCAATTCATAAGGCTATCACATTTGACCAGACTCCAGTTTTATTTTACAAAACTTCTTCCCCAAAGCAACACTCATAATTTGGAATCTTACCCAAGATATTTCTATTAACCCCACCCCCCACCCCCACCCCCTAAAACATCTTATCTGGCAATTATAAAAATCAAAATAAACCTTAACATTGTCTGAGGATCGCAATACTCTGAAATTACAAATTACAAACCAGTTTATGAAATATTAATCAAAGACACTAGCAAGAGGTTAGAAGTGTAATGTGAGAATATATCCAGCAGGTGGCACTGCTGTGTAGGAAGAAAAGCTATGTGCTTGACAAAGGTCATTATAGAGTGGAGGCTGGCTTGGGTTGGTCCATAGAAGTGTGCAAATGAGTCTTTAACCCTTTCATTCTCCAGGCACTATCTTAGGAATGTATGTGATGACTCAGTAGGAGTGAAATAAGGTGTCCTAGCTGGTAGAATCCACAGTGATAGAGAATAAAGTGTCCTTTTCTGACAAGCAGGGTTCTGTCTCAAAGATTTTCAAAAAAGAACTGAAAAATGAAATCCACAACCAGTTCTTCATCCTTGGACCTTTGTTTTTTGCCATCATAGTGACAAAGAAATCCCAAAGACAAGCCTGGAAATGGTTCGAGGGAATGGTAGAATCAAAATAGCTTTTGCACAGCAGAGACAAAAGATGAAGGAAGCTTTTTACTGCAGTGGGTAAGAGGAGCAAGGACATGCTGGGCAGTGGTAGCGTACGCCTTTAATCCCAGCACTTGGGAGGCAGAGACAGGCAGATTTCTGAGTTCAAGGCCACCTTGGTCTACAGAGTGAGTTCCAGGACAGCCAGGGCTACACAGAGAAACCCTGTCTCGAAAAACCAAAAAAAAAGAAAGAAAGAAAGAAAGAAAGAAAGGAAGGAAGGAAGGAAGGAAGGAAGGAAGGAAGGAAGGAAGGAAGGAAGGAAGGAAGGAAGGAAGGAAGGAAGGAAGGAAGGAAGGAAAAAAAGAAAGAAAGAAAGGAAGGAAGGAAGGAAGGAAGGAAAAAAGAAAGGAAGGAAGGAAGGAAGGAAGGAAGGAAGGAAGGAAGGAAGGAAGGAAGAAAGAAAGAAAGAAAGAAAGAAAGAAAGAAAGAAAGAAAGAAAGAAAGAAAGAAAGAAAGAAAGAAAGAAAGAAAGAAATCACTTCAGTGTTAAGCACCCTGAGCATGCTCAGTTAACGGGTAGAGTCCTGAGCATGCTCAGTTTAAGATCCTAATTAAAGGGAATGACGGCAGACACATTATGGGCCATGTTTAGCTCAAAATCATGGAGTAACCATTTTCAAATGGTTAAAATGGTGGACATGGGCACATACAGGCATGATGAACTTGTATCATCAAATTTCACCCAGAAGTGAAGAAAAGACTACTTGGTGGATGCGTGACTAACCCTGCAGGCACGCACCCTCACACAGTGGCTGATACACACCACTCCGTATGAGACCTGGAATAGATGGAATGTGCTTGGCTTTGTTGTCGATGTTCATCTTTGATGACTGTATGTGCAATGTCCTTTCTCTGGCCGTTGTGACCAATCAAAGGTACAGAAGAAAGTAAGACAAAAATACATCCCCTGATGCACGGATCCAGGAAGGAAGAGGAGAATTGAACATCTATCCTTGGAGCCAAGCAGTCTCCTTTGTGAGCACAGCCTTTCTTCCCACTTACCAAAACTCTGAAAAAAAAATATATATATGGCAAAAACCATTATTCTCTTTGGCTGGTAAAGGAAACTGGCTCAGAATTCCCAATTATACTGAACATCCAGTTTGCAAGTGATAGGTAGACTCCGACCTCCCACTCTAACATAGACCCTGCAGCAAATATAGGACTTGGAAGTCTTGCAAACCTTGTCCTACATATCACAGTGAGGTGCTTTCGGTTTTAGGTGTTGTGCTGGCTAGTTTTATGTCAAGTTGACCAAAGCTAGAGTCATTTAAAATATAGGAACACTACCTGAAAAAATTCCCTGAAGATTGGGCTATAGGAAAGCCTGTACATTTTCTTAATTAGTAATTGATGTGGGAGGATCTAAGCCCATTGTGATTGATGTCACCCCTAGCTGGTGGTCCTAGGTTCTATAAGAAAGCAGGCTGGGCAAATCAAGTGGAGCAAACACCCTTGTGGCCAGTAAGCAGCACCCTTCTATGGCCTCTGAGTCAGATTTTGCCTCTGGGTTCCTGCTCTGCTTGAGTCCTTGGACTGGCTTCTTTCAGTGATGGACTATGATGTGGAAGTGTAAGCTCTACAAACCCTTTCCTCCCAAACTTGCTTTTGCTCATTATGTTTCCTCACAGCAGTCGTAACTCTAACCAGGTCAGGTATGTAGGAATTGCAAGTCAGCGCAGGGCTCTCAGGACAGTGAAATGGTGACTTGGCTAAGGCAGAGGATTCTGTATTTCCAGTCATCGTTGGGAATGAAGATGCTGTTAGAAGGTTCTTCCTTTGAGGAGCAAGACCCCTTCCTTCAGAGGCCTCTAAATACTTTCCTTCTCTCAGATTTCTAAGCTAAAACAACTCACATTCTGTTTTGAAGATAGTTTCTTCTAAGCAACCTAAGTTTTGTATGTTCTAACTTGAAACACTTAGCAACCATCTGAAAGAACTGTGTGTGTGATATGTATGCACATGTGGTAAGAACAAATACGATTTTGTTTTCTTCTTATCTTACTACAATTAGTTTTTAATGGGATATACGTCTACAAGGCCTTACTCCTTAAGATTTGGGTCAATAGAAGGATTTATATGCTTGTTAAAAATGGGAAACTTCCAGAACAAGACAGTCACATGGATACTAATGGGTATGTCCTAGAAACTGCAGTATTTCCTCCTTTTAGAATTTTAAAATGTGTGGTGCCCCAGGGCTCCTTGCTACTGAGGCAAGGTTGAAAGATCATTGGAGTATGGGAAGGGCAGAGGCCCTTCACCCACCAGGGCCTATTTTAAGTCTCTTGCTGAGTCAATACTTTTGACATAGCTTGCTAGAAACTGCCCCAAATGAAAAGTGTACACAGAAATTATACTTTCTTCCTGAAAACACCACAGACAAAACTATCATGACAGCCAGTGAATAATGCTCCAGATAAAGGCATGTTTCTTAACTACTGTATAACCTGCACAACAAAATCAATTTAATCTTTACAGGTTAACCTGTGTTTTTGCCTCAGTCACACCTTTTCTGCCTACCAGTACCCACAAATCACCTTATTATTTTATTTAAAGGGAAACCTGATTCCTGCAAGAAAATGTGTAGACTGATACACTTTTCCTGCCTTACCCTTTGTCATAAATCATCTCCCTTAAATGAAGAAACTCCACAAGCCCACAATCACTTGCATAGCTCCTGCTCTGCTCCAGATGTGGGCTGTTCTATGGCTGACTCTCAAGTCCATCTGTCCATTATCCTGGTTAGTAAATTCATTAACTTTGCTTCCCTCTGACTGGTCTCTGTTGTGACTGAGTAGAAGAAGCCTCGGAGGCTCTGAGAGGATCCTCAAGCTGTGTGGACTATACTGTGGAGCTATGCTCTTGCTGCTGCTGGGTGAGAGTGGCCAGCTTGGGAACAGCCTCATCAATGTACTCTGACTTACACTGAAAGGACAGACCACAGTGGGGACAAGTGGAGAATACCTTGAGCAGGAGCCACAAGCTTCTCACTAAACTGCTGGTTTGACCTCAGAAGGGTCTTGGGACCCTTTTGTGACCCAAGAGGGATGTCCTTAAACTAACCTTCAAGATCATTTTGACATAATTTCTGCGACTAATTCTCTGAAAACTTGCCTCTGCCTTTCATGAGGGAAAGCTGTCAGAGGCAGGGGCTGGATCTCTTTTGACGTCCCACTGTGACTCCCTCAATAGTCACGAAGGCAAAAGCAGTACAGTAAATGCCTCTGAAATTAGTTGTGCACTAATTTCCAATGGTGGATTATTTCTATTGGTTCTACAATATCAAAAACATTTTCATGCATCAAACATACATTTAAACAGCTAGAATTTGAATAGTTTTTTTAAAAGGGAATTGGGGTCCACGGTAGACTACTACTATATTTCAGGAAGGTGGGGCTTTAAAAGGTAGTGCATGAGGATTCACAAGCAAAACCCTAGGTCGTAATTATAGAATAACTGCTTCTTTCCTCAGCACACTTGGGCAAGTTACTTTGATGCTCTGTGCTTCCATCTTATCTGTCTAACCATGAACCATAATGGTTGTTCTCTCTCAATAAAGAACATCAAAAAGACACCGAACGCGACCATGATCTTTGCTTTATCTCCATCACCTCTTTTGTCATGTCTCACTGCCCTTTCCACACAGAACTGACTAACTGTACAGTATGTTCTGTAAATCTCTAATCAATGAGTGGCTCTTTGCCCAAAGCTACTGCTTTGGTCATGGGGCTCAGATGTGATGCAGGTAATTGGAAAGGAGCCATTAGGCGAGAACAAGGAGCTACTCAATCTCCATGCATTTGAAAGCTAACAAATTAGACATCGTAAGTCAGTTTATCTCATAAATATGTATGTGTCCTTTGGGACAGAACCACTCACCCCAATCCAAGAACAAAAGAAAGTAGGTAATGCTGGGATGCCTACTGGTTTTCTTATCTTGAGATGTGGGCTTATGGACTAAGTTACTTTTACAAATGAAAATTCTAAGGTCAGATCCCAAGATTTCCCACCACGACAATAGAGCACTTCCAACTCCATCCTAGTGATAGATGGATCTTTTCTATATTCTTCTAACTCAGCAGCTATCTCTCACTGAGCTGAGGAGCCTCAGGGCTTTGTCAAGCCCCCTCCTCCTTTTTTCCTGAGGAGAGATCCAAGAACATCTGCCCAGGAATACCCAAGGGTTTTTTATTGATTTTAGCCATGTTAACTGTCAAACATGAAACAGAACAAACAGAAGTTGTGGGGATGAAAAACTCTTAAGTCTCGTCAATGTGTAGTTAGTGTTCCCTAGGGAAACAAAACCATTAGTACACACACTCACACACACCCTGACATACAAACACAGAGACAGGGCACAGGCAGAGAAAAGGGTTTATTTTCATGCATTGTCTGCTGGCTAAGAGCTGCCAGTCTTTCTCCTATCCAGTGCCTTACTTATGGTCTGGAAGATGATTTTTAGCAGGGACTGTTTGAGGCTCTTGGAAGAATAAACATTTGGCTCATTGTCCTTCAGCTCGCCTGTCCTACAGGACTCAGGTCCTGAAGACTCCTGATGGCTTACTCTTATTTTCTTGATGTCCTCCTCTGTGTCTGTCAGGCTTATACACAGACTGCCCACCCCACCTGCCTTGAGATTCTGAAACACAGATCACATGGAGTTATTGCCTTCTCATAGTACAGAAGGAGTCATCTTCATGGCCTGTCACTTTCACCAAGTGTCCTCAGTTCACCCAGTACAAAATCATTTCTATGGAGGAGGACACCGGAACAAAGGGAAACTTAGTAATTTGCTACATGGTGGGAAGAGTTAGTGATGGATTGAGTTTTATTTTTCATTATTTTTAATTATGTGTCCCTGTGGGGTTTTGTGCATTTGGCACAGTGGGTGTCCGCTTTCCTGGAGCTGGAGTTGCAGATGGTTGTGGGCTGTTTAGTGTGGGTGCTGGAAACTAAACCCTGGTCTCTTCAAGAGCAGCTGAGCCCTCTCTCTATCCCTCACTTTTAGGGTGGAGGAATTATTCTTTATGCCTTAGTAGTCTCACTATAAAGTCCCAACATACAAGTGCTTACTAGATACACATTTGTGTTCACAAATTGCATTTTCATGTGGGGTTTTTTTTGTTTTGTTTTGTTTTTATGACAAGTCCTGAGGAAATTTTTGAATAATTTGCATCCTTGAATAAGCTCAATCAGAACCAAACTTTCTCCTCTGTAGCCCTGCATCTCAGATCAGAGGGGAAAGATCTCCTATGACCCTTTATCACAAACACCCTTTGCAGACTGTATCCTCATTTTCTAAGTGCATTGAGCTTTCAGTGTGGAACCAGTCTCCAGGTACCATTCCAGATGGGAATCTTTCCGGTTTCATCCTTCCCTTTTTGGTACCCTTAGGGCTAAGGGCGTTTCTGAGGCAATTGTTGAATTTAAAATGCAGTTTTTGGCATGGTAGAAACTCAAAATACTACTGTTGTTTTTCTCTTCCTGGACCATTATTAAACACCCTCTCTATTCAGGCTTATGAAGACAAATTGGGAGTTATGTTTTTATGGAATTTTGCTTTATTGTCATGGCAAAGTCTTCGATGAGGAACAAAGGAATCTACCCAGTCTGAACCATCCCCATACTAGATTCTCACCCAGGACTGTCTGGCAGCCATTTCCCTGGAAAGCCCAAGAGGAAGTCTACCTTCATCCAAGGGGATAAAGAATGTGCCTTACTGACAAGCTCTGACTGCCAGTTTCAGGCCTTCTTTATGCCACCCATGTTGGAAGCTTTTGCAGGTATTCTTTGTAGTAGCTTAGCAAAGTTTATATTGACCACTTAAAAATTTTTTTCTTTCTGAAAATTAAGCAAGACTCCAAAAATGTCTAGATGCCAAAGTTAAGTATTAGTAGTAAGAAGCCTGAAGTTATAACAGTGTGGACTGACCACAAATTACAAACTCTAAGGTCCAGCTGGAAGGGTGTGTCACCCAAGGCTGCAGAGGCATCCCTCAGCCCCTGGCTTCTACCCCGCTTTCCTTCACTCTGAAAGAACCGTTTCTTCTCCATTCTCCATTCAGTTGAATTATTCAAGCCAAGCTCATTCTTGACCTCCCTTGTGGAAACTCCCTGCTAGCACTTAACTCCAATCTCTCTCCCGGGTTCCAGAACTGACATTTAGTTAGAAGCAGACATGGTTTTTCATCAGCGTGTTCATGGTGGCCCCCTCCAAGATGAGCTCAGAGAAGGCTAGGGCTGTGTCTTATTTCACCTCTAAATAATCTGTGATTGAGGAATAATCCATAAATACTTAAGTGATAAAAGAATAAGTACAAGTGAAGTAACATGAGAAAGTCAGAATAGGGTCTGGAGAGATGGCTCAGCAGTTAAGAGCACTAACTGCTCTTCCCAGCAACCACATGGTGGCTCACAACCATCTATAATGGGATCCGATGCCCTCTTCTGGTGTGTCTGAAGACAGCAATAGTGTACTCACATACATGAAATAAATAAATAAATAATAAACAAATAAATAAATATTAAAAACAAAGAAGAATGTCAGGATAAAGAACTGGTTGTAAAGACTAAAAATGTCTATTTGCTATTTAAAATAATTTTTTCAAGGTTTTTAGATGTTCTTTGACAATTGTTTGCCGTAACTAAATTTTCAAAACAACAGTGAACGGACAGCTGTGTAGATGTGCACTGTCCTTGCACTGTGGGTATGGTGGACCACGAATGAGTCTCATTAGGCAATAAATTGGAGAAGCAGGATAGTGACCCTCCCCAGGACTGTTAGGTGATACTTTAGGTATTCTGGTTGTCTTCAGTGAGAGAAAAATGCTAGCTTGTTTTCCTTCCCAGAGAAGAGACAACAATTTTATGCTCCTCCTAGCCCACAGACTCTAGGATTGCTACCCAAGCAACCTGGGAATCTAAAACCCTTAGATACAGTTAGTTCTTAGACACCATTGCCTGAGAGATTATAGTGCCACACGTTTCCAGAGGAGCTAACATGACTGAGGATTGCTCATGGACATTACCACTGTGTGATGGAGCATCAGCAGAAATCAAAAATCAATACAATATGGAAAGTTGGATTCATTGCCATGTATGCCTGCACTTTTATCTGTAGTCTCAAAACCACAGAGCAGAGCTGCAACCAGAGTCAAGAGGCTGGTGGTTTGAGTTTATTAATAGATAGTTCTTACTCTTAGAGATGCCATCTTCCATCCTTGTTTCTAACTTTCCTCTTCAGTAAGAGAAGGAGAAAGACAAATATACATTAAGGGCCTTGAAAGGATTCACAGGGGGCTAGAGAGATGCTTAGTTGTTAGGAGCACATGTTGTTCTTGCAGAAGACTATGATTCTGTTTCCAGAGCCTACATTATAGTTTACAACCACTATAACTCCAGTTCCAGAGGATCTGACACCATCTTCTGACCTCTAAAGGCACTGGACACACATGTGGTGTACATGCATACATGCAGGAACATTCCATGATGGCCTCAGTCCAACTGTTGTCTGTACATGGTCACGATGGCTCACTTTGGCCTTCTTCCTGAAGTCTTCTCTTTCATGGATCCTCAGTACTTGCTCTCTCCACCACCTGGAACTACACTTCCCTCAATTCGCTACCCCTCTTTTACCTGGTACACTCTTCAGCTCTCCATTATAATATTATTCCTTTGAGCAAAGATTTCCTGGTTACTCCTCTTCCCCAGATAGGTGAGATCCTTCTTTTATGAGTTCTCATAACCTTAAAGTAGTAAGCACAACTGTGTTTTGATACCATGAATTATTTTTTGACTGATATCTGTCCAGTTGGCAGACTAGAAACTCTGTGGTCAATGTCCTTGTCCACCTGGTCTGGCAGATAACAATTTGGCATATATTCATTCTGGTGCTCAGTAAGTATTTGTTGCTTGGATATGGCTAGCAAGACTTACCAGTAGAATCTAGAACTCTGAGAATAGGATCATCACCTGTGTAGTTAGATAGATGAGACCAGGTCTCAGATGTGACCTTTTGAGCAGGAAGTGAGGAACCCACAATAGCCAAGCAGGATGAGGGCACTGGTGTCTGCAGGG